TGTCCAGTAAAGCTCTTGGGAGAAGCAAAAGCTTAAAAAAAAGACCAAAAAAAAAGACACCTACTTGAAGCTTCTGTTTTCAGGAAACTGTATTTCAAAACCAGAATTGTCTCTGCCAGTAAACTTTGGAAAAGGTTTGAAAACTTGCAGAACTGATGTTGACAAACAGACTTGATAAATTAAAGCCTGAGTAAAGAATATCTAAACATGGAAATATTCCTGAATAAATTCATGTGTGAACATTCTTATCCAGAATGAATCTAGAACATGTTCAAAAAATAGATTAAGCTATATCAGAAAAAGACATTCAATTTAGAATCAGAATGTTTTATATGACTTATTCAAGAATAGCTAATCTGCTTTAAACTTAATATTGTCTTCTGCAAAACAGCATTTACGAATAGATGTTCAGACATTGTTAAGAGAGATTTCTTCTGCAAGTGAATAATTACCGCATTTTATGTTGCATACAAGGATACACTACAATGCAAATTATCTATTGCTATTTTTCATTATTTTAATAAAGCTTCTTTTAAAACAAACTACTTTTATACAGACAGGTAATTTCTCACACACGCTGAAAAAACCCCCACCCCCCTGGCCAAGAGATGGCAAAGAGAAGAGAGTTTCTGAAATTTCATATCCCAATCAATGTCTTTGTCAGAAAGGCCATGTGCAGGGATGTCTTCTCCCACAAAGATGTGTTGCAGGTAATTGGGAAGAAGCAGATTTCTAGACAATAGAAAGAAAAAAGCTAACGGAGTTGTGACATCTGTCTTTCTGTTGTGTACCTGTAGGCCATCAGTGTTTCCAAGCAAGCTGTTCACAACAGATGGAACATGGCCTTTTGGTTGATCTATGATACCACAAAATGAGGACTACATATGTCACACTAAAGGTGTGATTCAGGGGAGCACTACGGGTAATAAAAGATCCCATTACTACAATGCAACAAGAGAAACTTTGCAATGACAGAAAAGAAAAACTAACCTATTATCAGGTAAATTTAAAAAAAGAATGATAAAATATATTTCTGTCTTCTTCTAACATCAGAAGTAACAACAATAATGTTTTACAGATGAAAGTTCCTTTGCTTTTTTAACTAAATATTTCAAAAAATTTTAAAAAGACAGAAATAAAGCCATCATGCACATAAAGGAGCATTATCTAAAATAACTATATTCAAAAAGCTCCAACAAAATGCTTCCCACTAAGGTAATTCAGTCCCTGTAACCACTAATAATGGGTGAGAGAAACATTTTTATATGGATTAGAAACTGGCTAAACAGACAGAAAAGCAATAGCAGAGATATATAGGCAATTTCAGTAACTCAAAAGGTTAACAAAAAAATGCCTGGTACCTCTTGTTAGGCATGTTTAATTCATTTATAAAAGGGAATGAATAGCATCAACATTTTATACATCATAATTTGGAATAGTCAGCAATGAAAGAAATGTTTGCTTAACTCAAGAAAGCTTGTTTAGTGGACAGCCTCCTGATGGGTGAAAGTCAGTACCAATTTATGAAGAACAAGACACACTGCAGATACCTTCTAACCCACATACATTACCAGATCCTGAACAACTAGCAGCTCCTTAAGTGAAAGACCTGAATGCAATTCGTATACAGACAAAAGAAAAAACAAGAAAATATGGTTATGCTACTGTGTAAATTTGTGGAATTGTTAAATGTGAAATATGTTATTTTGTTATGCACATTAGATTCCTTGAAAGAAAGTACAGACCAAAAGATTTCTGTTTGGAAGACAACATAGTGAAGGAAAGATAAGGCAGATGCACATGAATGTGTGCACAAAAAAGATGCAACAGGGTTTCCAAGGTATGAACTTGTTTTATACACAACTATTCCAACTTCTGTTTTGTTGGCTATCATTTATGAAATCAACCAGGTTCTAGCAATTCTTTGGCATCACTGAGACATAGTAGCAATGCATGGTTTTGAATTATGTATAACTGGAAATTTTATTTGCTTAAACTGATACATACTCAGAGGTTTTAAACTCTTCCTCCAAGATGAGTTTTACAGGAAGTGCAATGATTACATTGTACGATAGTTTCACTCATAAATAAGTGTTAATTTATTCTCACAAAGGTGCTGGCATTTCAAAAACATCACTGCAAATGAAAGACTAATGCTGTAACAGATTGAATTTCATTAGCAAGGAAATGTGTCAATCTTTTGATAAAATTAATGATCAAACAGAGTGTTTTAGGAAACACTCAGTATTGTTGCCAGCAAAGCACAAGGAAATCTTCCAAGTAAGGATTTGTATTTCAAAAGAGAATGCCTGGAGGATGTAGCTTATTTATGAGTTAGGCTCAAACTCTAACAACTGAAAAAATCATTTTGTCACTCAGTTTCATTTTGCAGTTCTACTGGCTGAATGGAGAGCGAAGAAGATTATGAGGTTAAGACCAAGTATCAACGTTATTGCATTTTTCCATCTCCATAGAGTACGGCTGATTAACATTTTTCCTTCCCAGTGTCAAATGTTTTTTTTAGCAGGGTGACAACCTCTGGATGCTCCACTTCCCACAAAGAGGCAAATCTTGTTAAGATTTGATGCCCACCACGACACACAAAGTGTTCATGGTTACGTGTGTAGCAGCAAACAGGAACTATTCCCTGGTCCTGCCACTGAACAGGATGGCATGGGGTGGTCTGTGTCCACATGGCTGAAATTTCCCCTGCCTCAAAAAAGGATATCTGCATCCAAACTATCTACTGGGAATGGTCCTGGGCTTTTGTCAACCCAAAAAGTCTCTTAAAGTCTCTTTTTTGCCAAAAAGTCTCTTAAAGACTAGTTAAAAAATGTCACTGCATAGCTGGCCCAGTACTCAAATCCATGCAGTAGTGCCACTTAGTTACAAGTATGGATGTAACCTGTGTGGCCTTTCTCTACTAATCAGACCTAGTTAAAAGCATCAACTTAAGACTAAGTTTGTGTTAAGGAGTCTCCTGAAGAAATTGTTAACCGAAGCCTCCCTGAGAGTCTATAGGATAATAGGGATGGGGTCCAAAACTGACTTTCTCCTGGAGTAAACTGGATTTAAAATTCCTGTTTCATGTCTCTTTTAATGAAATAAGAAAGCATTAGTTCACAGAAGTTTAAGGAAAAAAGCCACAGTACCCCAACAACGTGCAGAACACAAGGGCCCATAAAATTAGCAGCATTCGAAACCGACAGCTGAAGAGCAACCACGAAGGAGAGATAAGGAGATGGTGCTTTCTCCTTTTCATGCATGCTAACTCAAGTTCATCAGGTTCTCTCATCACTGTACAGGAGAGCGACAATCTAGACTGTAACTGGTTAGATTATGAAAGGGCTTTAACTTGGGCAACAAAAATCAAATCTGCTAAACATACACTCCAAATATAAACGTTTACTGAATTATTTGAACAATAAATGCAACATATTAACCCCTGGCTCAGAACAAGAAACTGTAAGCAATCAAAGGCTCTTAAAGCAGAGAATTTAAGACCAAAACCAAAACTCATGTAATAAAAGAACATCACATAAGAACTACACGAAAATAAAATCAAATGATCTAGCTACTAAAATACACATATGTGCTCAAAATCTTGTGGGAATAAAATATTCCAGTAAAAATAAAGGGAGAGATGGAAACACAAGTTTCTTATTATCACACTTCATATGTTATAAAACCTAACAGTTAACTTATTTTTGGCAAAGAGACAAAGGTTGCACAACGCTCTGGCTTACACAAATATTTTCTATTGTTAAATACATCTTAAATGTAGCTTGTCATATATTAACTTCATGCACACAGTGCACCATGCAGTCTAAGAGTGTCCCAAAGATACCTACATTTCAAAACATTGATCAACAGCAAGCTGCCAGCATCCAGTGAGCCAGGTGTAAAAAAATTACTCAACAATTCATAGTTTAATTGAAACCAGATAAAATCATTTGTGTAATAAAGACTGTACAGATGTTGACAAAAGAAAAGTTGATATTTTTGGACAAATTACTTCACATGATATTTTCTAGAACACTCCCTCTTGAAAAGATAGAACAGTAATAAAAGTTCTCTCAAAAAAATGCCCTTGTTTATAATCACAAAGTGAAATATCCCTGTGGAAATATATCAAGTTAACCTCATGTTTCACGTTTTTAGTTATTCTTTCCTTTACAGGAAAAAAAAAAGTTAGACACGCAGTGGAAATGGTTATGAAGAAGTGGAAGAACCTACTCACGCATATATAAACACAGACTTTACGCTAACACTGCACTTCCTTCCACTGAAGATTTTACAATGTAAAGGAAGAGGCAATAATTTAGCAAAAGTGTTTAAGAATAAAAATTCAGTATTCTTCATTCATCATCTGCCAGTAGAGTGAGTTATTACTGAGCACTAACAATTTGCCATTTCCAGAGTTGCAAGGACACAGTCCTGCCTCACCCTTCTTATTGCTTCACAGCGACAAAGAAAAACGTTCAGATACACAAGAACACCCAGTAACACCTCTCACTCTCATCGAGATACACAAACCAAGTACTCATCGCAATTTATATTACTATTCTTTTCCATACATTTCTCCATGTATAGCCAGCAATCTGCTTGCCTTGAGATAAGAAGCTGCTATTAAAATCATAATCAGTCTTAAACTTTTTTTGAGTGGTAACACAATGCAATTGCCAAGCATCTAGTGATCTGTTTATAAGTTACTTAAAGATGAGAAGACAAGAAAATCCTAAATATATTTATCACCATTATTAATTATTTGTATTATAAGGGCATTTAAAGGTCCAAATTCAGAGTCAGAACTTTATTTTACATCCAATTACTTTATTATATGTTATTAGGGTTAGCATTGATGTTTTTATTCCATTTTAATTGAAAGTTTCTGTATAGCAGAATAGAGCTTCCACAGGAAAGACATGGCATTACCCATAGGCTAAGCACGTACACTGCTTTGCTAATAATATAACTCCCATTCTATAAGGTTAAAGTACCTGAAGTTCTGAGGCTCGCTTCATCATCTCCAGTGTGATGTAGCAACCAATAGAATGAGCAATCAGTACCAGCTTTATATCTTTTGATACATTCTTTTTGAGGAAGTTCAGCTTATGCTCTACTTGTCCGTTAAGTCCAAAAACATCCTCTAGCTCCTTAATATCTGTGTCTGAAACATAAAAGAAAAAAAGTTCTTTGTTTTAATGATAGAAATTTCAAGTATCTCTTTTTTTTCCTCACTTCTTTGGAAAAGTCTGAAATAAACAAACTTATTAATTAAAAAAACCAACCGAAACTTAAAAATCTAAGTTACCACCAGTGGTAAATATAGACAGATGAATCACATGTACAGGATGTGAAGCCTTACGCGTATCTGGGGAACGAGTGAAGGATACGGAAACACACGGAGCTTCACAGCAAACCATCTAGAGTTGTTATCCTCTTCATTCAGAACATTACCAAACTCAAGGCATTGGATCAGCTTAAATCAATTCGACTTTACACTGAGAGATCGGGACCTACAATAGCAATATTGCCCAGGAATAAGAGCCCTCTCACTCAAGACAAACTATCTTATGTTATCACACACTACAAACCTCCAGATGTTCAAAATTAGTCCTGTCTTAAAATAAAGGTGCTCAAAAGGTCCCATGGAATGAGGAAAAACATGAAATGTGTATGTATCAACACGGGGCACTAACACTTACATAAACTACTTCTATTTATGCAGATTCTTGTCATTATCAATCCAGCCACAAGAGGAAGGCCAAGTTAGAGCTTAACGGTTCCAGGTTATTGTGCAATTTCAATGGCGTTTTGCCAGGGACCTCCTAAAGGAGCTTGGGCAATCACTTACGATGAGGACTTCGCTACTTGCTTCCTCAAGAAGATAAGGATGATAATGATGCCTGTAAGAATTTACAGCAATTTGGGCATCTTTACTCTTGCTCATGAGGTGGGTGACATGGTTCTCAAGTTCCTCAGCCTAAGGGGGTTCACAGCTCTTTCATCTGCCAGCAAAGTGCTCTACCCACTAAACTAAAAAGACATACCACTCCAGTTTAAGCTAGACTACTACATGGAAAAGACTGTAAGAAGAAATGCTGAAAAAAAAGAATAAAAGAAGAGAGGCAGAAAGTATGAAGGGACATATGCCTATAGCTTATCTACACGAGGTGTACTGATACTAATATCACTTAATCTCTTAAATCCATGCTATTATCTCAGGGATCAATTTCATACTTTATTTTAAACCTCTGATCTTTTACACTCCTTACATGTTGACTTGCAGTGCAGTTTTAGTCTGAAATAAGCTAAATCTCCTGGCAGCAAGGTTCAGACACATGATGGGGACCAGCTTATTAGTGAGCCACGGTCCTACAGACAGCCTACAGGTTCCTGGCAAAAGCCACCCACCTCTAACAATTCAGGAGCAGCTAACGGTAGTGCACACACAGCCCTAACCAGCCCACCAAGTATTAGGTGTTTAACTTCCCACTTGGTTTCTTTTGATGTCCTCTGCCATCAGTTCCCTATGTGAAAAATAGAGGTGGAAGAAAGTATCCATCAGGCAGAGACACTGTAAAGACATATACATTAAAAATACTGGAATGCATTGAAAAAACACTGCAAGAGGAAGTTAGCACCGTAGACCCATCTCAGATGTAGGTGGTTTTGGGCCTGCTTGGAGAAAGTGATAACTATGGAGTTAACTGCCTATGACTGTGAATTATCAAATTATTTGGTCTTTTAATCTGCATATAGTAAATTTGATGACAATTGGTCAGTAATCTCAAATGCTAAAAATTACTAACGCTACTGTAGTGAAGTTATTCGGGGCTTGACAGTGATAATATTAACTGGTATTACATTGCCTTTTTGATCATCTGTATGAAACATTATCTTTTGAAGCAAAATAATTGCTCAAGGATGTGTTCTGATGGCTTCTTTCTGAGCTTGAATGATTACCACAGAGGTCACAATAAAGATTTTCAGTTAAACTAGTATTTCTACTAAAACTACTAACGATCATATCCCAGTGTAATTCATAATAATTTAGTCTAAATGAAAAAGGGGTTTACTAAACCACACTCAGGGAATGCAAAATTAGATGAGAATTAATATTTTGCTTAGTAGACTTTCTATAAGTAATAGAAAACAAAGACCTTGTTCTGTTTTCCAAAACCCTACATAAAAGCCCAAGGCCAAAACATTGTTTTTAAACTTAGTTTCTATTTTTAGCAAAAGCTGTCTTGCCTACTTTTTATTTATTTAGACAGCAGCTTAACCTCATGCAGGAGTGGGCTGTCTACACCACAAGTCTAATTAAGAGTATATATAACACACATAAAACACAGAATACTAGAAATGCGACGGCCTACTGGATACAGCAACAAGTGAAAGAGTATGTTATGTCGAATATACGTATATTAATGTGTGTTGGGTTGAGCAGGTCAATTTTCACTTGTAAACATTTGCCATCATTTCCATATTGTTTTACTCTGGCACTGCCATCTCCAGTGATTTATCAGCACATCTTTCGAAGTTTGACATTCCATTCACAACTTTAATTCCTGAAAATAAAGTGATTTTACAAGAATTTAAGCTTATTTCCAGGTTAGAGCAAGGGAAAAGGAGGTGAAGTAGGTGTATAAATCTTCTAGAGAACTTCTCATGGTGCACAGGACCCCAGAAACCAAGCAGGAGAAAAAGCAAATTTTTATTTCTATTGCTCAATCTCATGAGGTTAACAGCTGCCTTTCACTACATGAATTCAGTACCTGCTACAAGAAATGCTGAACATCGTTGCAATGCAATTAACAATACAGTGAAGACAGTCTAGCTCTGCCTCAAAACTTCCAAGTTAAGGTGGATAACTATGTTAGACAAATACAGTTAATTATTTTAGTTATTAAAACACTAGATATCTAATTTAACATTTAGTTACTTAATAAATAGCAGCATAGAGATTCGGGGCAACAGATTCACAGCTATTACTGATTTCAGCAGAGATGTGCCTATTCAGAACGAATTCTGTTGCCAAAACAAGAACCCCACCACAGGACATGAGTGGGGATTAGGAGCAGAGTGAAAATAAGGGTTTTTTTCCTCTTTGCATTTGCCTAGATTTGAGTTTAGGACTTGAGCATATTCAACTCAAGCCTGTGCACCAGTGTTTCCTTAAGAGAGCAGGGGAGAGCAGAGCTTGCAGAAGTGATTGTTAATTGGATGGGTTAGTTACAATCGATGATCATCACAGAGACCCGTTCCAAAGCATCCTTAGCAAAGCCCTGCTCAGCAGCCCTTGGAGCAAGGATGCTCAGATTCCCACGCCTACTGGCAGGTGTTACAGACACATACAACCTCTGTCAGCTGAAAGAGAGTCCTGACAGCCAATGCTGACCCCAGAGAATTGCTTCAGCTGTTTAATACAGCTTTTCCTTTTCTTCTGAAACACTGAGTCGTTGCCAAACCGAATCGCATTAGCACTACTCCTGGAGAAGCCGCACTGGAGGATGAGCGTGCGGTGTGACAGGGTCTGGTGATCCACACGCATAACTCTCCTCACCACTGACTGAGCCTGCACTCTTGTCAGGTCAAATTCCAATGTCACAGAACTCTATATTGAACTACACATCCTATTTTACTGCTGGACAAACACAAAATGCCTCGTGTCAGTTCATGTTTCCCCAGCACAAATACTACACTCCTCATAGTCCAAAATATGTGAGAGCTGGGCTGCCTCACAGGTTTGGAAGATTTATTTATTTATTTAACAGAATAAAATCATCCAGGGATTATCCAAAATCAACATGAATTTCTTGGGTGGAGAAGCTGAAACGGGTTCTTCATAAAAGCAAATAGACTTGCACAAACACACTGGCAGTCAGCTCACCGATGGCTCTACATCAGAGAAGGGACCAGAGTTACTTCACCTCAGGTGTGGAATAAATGGCATGGCTGAAGGAGAGCTCATTTAAGCAGTTTTCAGACAGTAGAAATTATACGACTTGTACCTTACGCTGCAAACACCCGAACTGGGCCAAGGCATGTGATTTTAAGACTTTATTTAGCTGAAGTGTATTAAAAGAAATACTGTACTTCTTTATTTTTTTTGGCAAAGCATTAATCTTCTGATGTGCTTTTGGAAAAACAAATGCGCCATCACTTTAATGAATCTCTTTTTCTGACCTCTGCTAAACCCATAGTCAGAAAACAATGATAAATTAAAATAAAGTGTTTGCTCTAAGATTAGTCGACAAGTTAATCTTACTAGGAAAGGGGACTTAGGTTTTCAGGGAAGTAACAGAGAATTGTATTTGTTTGTTTTTCTGCTGTGTATGCATGGGAAATTCCTAGGCAGAAAAAAAAAAAAGCGTATCAGTTATACGAGCAGGCTTAAGACTGGAGATTCATAACATTTAGCCTTCCATTAAAAAGTCTGCAAAAATCATAGACTTCTTTTTACTGGAAGATTCAAAAAGATACTGGAGGCCAGATTTTCTAACACTACCCTCAAATTTGTGAGTATAACTTCTGCATGTCTTTGTACTTCCCTAATTTCACAAGAGAATGCTTGCGTGTCGAAACTCCCAACTACCCTGGTCACAACAGGTGACTGAACATTTGAGGTCAGTACCTATGGACACTTGTCACGGAATGACTTTAAAGTCTGTCCTAGGATCTGTTCATACACAAGGCCTCCAAGTTACTCATGAACAAGTAAGGAATTGTGCAAAAAGGTGACTTGTAATTATATGCCCTGAAGGAAAGGGAGGTGAAAACCACTGTCCTATTTGCACTGTACCTTCTTCTTCCCTGGGTCATTTACTCTAGGAGGTAGTACCAGGATATCTAAGGACAAACTCTAATGAACCACCCGCATAAACTCTCGTGGTCAAGAATTTTCAGAACTGAACCTTTTACAAGACAAGGACAAGTAAGTATCTGGAGGCTGAACCAGGGAACTGGAAAAAGATTCACCTCTTCCTCTGAAGATGCTGCTCATTTCAGCTGCATGACATATCACCGTACTGCTTAATGTTAACAGTGAGGAGAAATAACAAGTTTAAACATACGAAAATGCAGTAATATCACAAGAAAGTATCAAAAAGAAGAAAAGCAAAGAGGGAGAAGATACTGAAAGGTCAGTCATGATATCAAAGCTTATGAAAAGGGAAGGCACAAAGCATCAAGCACAGTCAACCAAATAGTTCAGGAGAGTTAGCTCAGGGTCATGTTAAGACCACTGCATCTCCATCAAATACCGTTAAGTGCAACCAACATATAGGAACAAGTGTTTTAGACTTTATGCCTCACCTCCTTTTTCCACTACAAACACGTACAAACACTGGTGGGAGGAGCAGTAGCTGTGGTTGAGTAACTACTATTTAGATGGAGCAACCCGTGGAAAGTTTTACCTTTGCCTTCATGTAGCGACAGGCAGTGAGCAACCCCACAACTAAATTACTCCGAAGGATAACTTGTTAAACTGGCGTGCATGGTCAAAAGTCCAATTCTGGAAATTAAATAATTTGATTGCTTTTGCTCTTATAGCAAACACAAAAATTCCTGACAATTGAATGATGCCATCTGAAAATGTTTAAATACAACTGTAAGCTTAAAAACTGAGATTTCAGGTTTGTGGGTCTAGTAAGGCCAAATGTATTAGAAAATACATGTCTTAAAGATATATGGCTTAAAGTCTGAATGCTTCACCCAATCTTTCATTTGATTATTGAACCCTGGATAATTTGTATCAGCAAGTGATAAAGTTCCAAAGAAATGGGATGGAAACCGTGAAAGAATGTTCAATAAATACTGAAGGATTCCTCCTGACACCAGGAACCAGGTCTTAAAGCACTGTGTTTTAGATTAACCCTTAGACCTTAATCTGGCCCTAGTACCCTCAGGAACTGTTCATGCAACTTTTAAGATAAACACACCACTCATTAGTGTTTATTGGAGCAATTACTTTCTGTAAAGGTATCCTCCACAAATAAATTACCATTTACTCAAGATACTAAAGTGGTCATATATATTATTTTCTTTATTAGAAAAATAACAAGACTTTAATTTACAAACTGAACTAGTGATTTCCTTTGCTATCTATATACCTATTGCCAGTACACTTGGTTAACACCTAATCTGTTTTTCAAAGGAAGTTGTATTGTAATTAAATTAGTACAAGCATAGTCTGGCAGAATGAACTAATAAACACGACAAATACTAAACCCCAAATTTTTATTAAAAGCATACAGGAGCACACTGAACTTATTAAATTATGATATCTGTCACAGACTTCTTTTTATTTTGCATTCCCAGTCTTGCTTCCCTCTAACTGATTAGAGTAACTATTACCAAGGTGTGATAACAGTGCAAACTTTGAAGCAGAATTTTGTTGGTTGTCTACAATTTTGGCAAGGCAAACACCATTAAACAGTGTTTTATTATGCAGTTCTACACCAATCTATGCCTCCAAAATCACTTTAACATGCATAAAGCAAACCATGGGTGTTTTACATAGCACAGATGGAGAATGACTGTATTTTACAGTCAGTAAGCTGAATAACTACAGAAACTGCAATTTATAAAAATTTTAAATACCATATTATTTAAAAAAAAAAAAGATAAAATTAAAAAAAACTTGGCAGGGTAGAGGTTAGAGAACCATCACTGTGTAGGAGCTGATCTAAATTTCCCTCATAAAGTGATCCCAAGGAGCAAAAACAGAGAGGCCTGTGCCTATGGGAAGCTGATGGTTCATGTTATGTTTCTTGCTTTCTGGACATGTTGAAGCCAAGTGAAAGACTCTGTACATACCCTTCTTCACTTGTCCACGCAAACAAAACCAGAAAGGACTTCCTTGCTGAGGCTGACAGCTACGTAAAATGTATCTTGATAAAGGAATAAGTATAAAACTCATTGTAAATTTTTTAGTCTCACACTTTTTTAACTTCTAGACTGCACCTTTGATGACAGCACACTACTTGGACTATTAAGGACAGCTTTATATCAGACCTAATTATTTTGAAGAAAAGACCTGTAACACCATGCTCATGCACCTAAGTTGGTTGCAAAACTCCAGCAAGCTCATTCCAAAACACTAGGTATCCCACTCAGCACAAAATTTTAGTTTGCAGAATACTCTCTATGAGACAAGTAACTACAGAGTGGAAGAAAACAATGGTATGCCCTTACTTTACCAGAAATTAGGCTTTTATCTAGGCTTTACCCGTTATTTTCCCCCCCAGTTTCCAAATCATTTAATGTCTAGGTTTACACGTCTACACTTGCAAAATAACAAGTAATTTCAGTACTGGCAGCCCTTCAAAATCTTCCAGCAATTCTCTCTTCTTCCAGTAATCCTAAAATGAATCAGCTCTACCACAGCTTATTAAGGAAGCACCACTGAACATAGACTGAAATAGGACTACATACAAGCAAATAGGTAGCAAACAAAACCAATAACACCACTGTAGTGGGAACCTCTGAACACATTACTTTTCCTTGGGTGCTGAGGTATCTGGGCATTCCAGGGTAACATTCCAGAGCTACAGCAAAGACAAGCCACCACTGCAGTTGTCAACATAACTGGGCTCAGTCTTCCTATACCAGGTACAAACCTCTCTGGCATTGCAGGAGAAAAGTAAGATATAAAGAGGGATGAGGAAGCAAGCAATGAAGTAGCCTTGCATTGGCAGAGACTTCATAAACAATGAGAGGAAGCAGACGTCAATGTACCCTACCTACAACTACCTGAAAGGAGGTTGTAGTGAGGTGGGTGTCAGTCTCTTCTCCCAAGTAACAAGTGATAGGACAAGAGCAAATGGCCTCAAGTTGTGCCAGGGGAGGTTTAGATTGGACATTAGGGAAAATGTCTTCACCAAAAGCGTTGTCAAGCATTGGAAGAGGCTGCCCGGAGAAGTGGTTGAGTCGCCATCCCTGAAGGTATTTAAAAGAAGTGTAAACGTTGCACTGAGGGACACGGTTTAGTGGTGGACTTGGTAGTGTTAGGTTAATGGTTGGACTCAATGATCTTGTGGTCTTTTCCAACCTAAATGGTTGGAAAATGATTCAACTTGAAGATCTGGTGGTTGAGAAAATGAAGTCAGTAACAAGACCTTCAAGAAAAAGTGTGCACTTCTACCTGACAGGGCTTCACATCCAGTCTGATCCACTGGATGGGATCATTGCATCAATAACGTAGGTCCAAGCAACATAGAGAAAATCTTGCAATTTCCATTACCTTGCTGATTTTCTGAGCTTATGCCACAAAAAAAGGATAGGTTGCAAAAATCAGTCTAGCCCCCCCCCCCATTTTGACTCTAAAAAGTCTATTTTCCTTGCT